AAGCTCTGTTACTTTGCCTGCCTAAAACACCTGATTGGTCTAATAAAGAGCTGAATGGCCAATAGCAAGGCAAGAGAGAGAAATTAGGTGGGGCTGCCAGGCAGAGAGAATAAGTAGGTGAAAAAGAGGAAGAAGAGGGAGGAGAGAGAAAAGGAGGAGAGGAGGATGTCAGTGGCGAGCCAGCTAGCTACACAGCCAGCCACAGAGTAAGAAGGAAAGAAATATATATAGAATAAGGAAAGGTAAAAAGCCCAGAGGCAAAACACAGTTAGAGATAATTTAAATTAGAAAAACAAAAACAAAAAACAAGAAGAAAGAAGAAGAAGAAGAAGAAGAAGAAGAAGAAGAAGAAGAAGAAGAAGAAGAAGAAGAAGAAGAAGAAGAAAAGCTGACTAAAAACAAGCCAAGTTAAGTAAGGCCAGATATTCATAAGTAAGCATAAGTCTCCATGTATTTATTTGGGAGCTCGGTGGTGGGCCCCCAAAGAGTTTTTTAAAAAACCAAACAATTACAATGTCCTTTATGAATTACTGTTTGAGCTCATTTTTTAAAAAAGAGGAACCATAAACAACAGCAAAAAAAGAAAAAAAAACTTAAGCTATTACTATATCTAGAAAGTAGAACATTGTACTAATAGCTCTTGCATCAAAAAAGTATCTTATAAGTTCAAAAAGAAAAAAATAAAAAGCTGAGGTGTGCCTCAGTGGTTAGAATGCTTCCCAGCATTTACAAAGTCAATCCCCAGTGTCCAGTGGAGGGACAGGAAGGGGAAGTCAACATTTGATAAGAAACCTCTATCTTCATGTGTATTGCCAGAAAATATGGAATAAGAAAGAAATGAGCTAAGCATTCAGCACACTTTCAAAAGCTATCAGCGCAAACTCAAAAGAAGGCAGAAAGAAAAAAAAGGAGTCAAACCCAGAGAAGACTAATAACACTAAACGTGGCTCTTGAATCTCTCGCAAGCTTGACTGGGCAAAAGGAAAGACACACAAATTAAAAAATAATAGAAGTAGGGTTGGGGATTTAGCTCAGTGGTAGAGCGCTTGCCTAGCAAGCGCAAGGCCCTGGGTTCGATCCTCACCTCCAGAAAGAAAAAAAATAGAAGTAGTAATAACTACACACTACAGATATTCTAAAATAAAAATATTTAGGAGCAAAATATGGCAATAGCTTTAAGACCTGAACAAGATATGTATTCCTAGAAAAATAGGGTCCCAAGTATCAAAAACTTTGAGCAGACTACAAGATTTAAAACATTCAAATGCTGATCAGAGATTTAGCCTGTTCTCTTCTCCCAAAGCTCCAAGGCCACACAGTTTACAAGTGAGTCCTAATGACCTCGTGAGAACAGACATGCTTTGTTTACAAGTTGTTTCCAAACCTAGAAAATGTGGGAAAGCTTCACATTCAGGAGGCTATTTTAAACTGGTGTCAGAGCCACATCACAATGCCCTCTTTATTTTCCAATACAGATTTGATTCTGGAGACATCAGCCAATGTATAATGACCGTGATTAAGAATAGTTTATCGGGCTGGGCGGTAGTGGCACACACCTTTAATCCCAGCAATGGGGGTTTTGGGGGGGCAGAGTAAGGAGGATCTCCATGAGTTCAAGGTCAGTCTGGTCTACAGAACAAGTTTCAGGACAGCCAGGGCTACACAGAGAAACTGTCTCAGGACCTCCTCCCCACCAAAAAAAGTTTATCCCAACAACACAAGGAGCAAAACAGGCCCATATCTAAGTGTCAATCATTGACTGATGGATTAAGGGGGGGAGCACGTTCATTTGAGTAAGTGCAGGAAAACATAAATTTCTACACTGGACATTAAAAGCTGTCAGTTGAGAGTTAAAAGGAAATCGCTACTTGATAAAAGCCAAAAAAGCCTGAAACAATACCATACCTGGGGGAATTCCTTCAGTTGAACAACTGCTCATTGCGTGTCTACCACGAGACAAGCATTCTACTATGCTGTGCTTTTCCTCCTGAGTCCTGAGATGACAGGCGTGACCATCACGCCGGCTTTCTATTTGATTTTGACCTATCAGTGAACAAAACAGATTCCTGCCTTTCTAGAACTTACATTTATTAAAAGAAGTAGATATAGATATATGTATGTAAAATATGCACATTCATATGTATAAAGCTGATATATGTAACCATAGGTATACCATATGTATATATAAAATAAATAAATAAAAAAGATAAGATAAGCTAAGTAAGTAATGTATTAGAAGGTAAAAGTTATTTTTAAAAAACTAGAATACTAAGGTTAGTAAATGGTATCAGGTTATATGCATATATGTGTAGAGGACATTTATTTAAATAAGATAAAGAGCCAGGTGGCGGCGGCGGCGGCGGCGGCGGCGCAGGCCTTTAATCCCAGCCAACTCAGGACACAAGCAGGTGAATCTCTGTGAGTTCAAGGCCAGCCTGGTCTACAGAGTGAATTCTAGGGAAGGCCCCAAAGCTACACAGAAAAACTCTGTCTCAAAACAACAACAACAACAAAAACAAAACAAAAAACCCAAAAAGATGGTCAATATAGACTAACTTGGACAGTAACGTTAAAACTTTCTCTTGTTTGGTTTTTGCCCTTGATCCTAAGACTCAGTAGGCCGAGGATCAAAAGTTTGAGACCAGCCAAGGATACCATAACAAATTCAAGACAAACCTAAGCTACCCAAAAAGACCTTGTCTTCAAAAACAGAAAATAAGTGATGCCATCAATTACCTAAAAATATATTTTGGTAATATTAAATGTGAACAAAAATTATGCCCATGTTGAAACATGGCACTTCTGATTTTTCAGAAAGGTCAGAACCCTGAGTTTGTTTTAACGTGTGTGTGTGTGTGTGTGTGTGTGTGTGTGTGTGTGTACATGCACACATGAGCAACAGTGTGTGTAGGTCAGTGGACAGCTTTTGAGAACTGGTTCTCATTCTCTAAATTGTGGGTCCCAGGGTATGAGGGCACATATTTAAAAAAAATTCAAGTACTATGTGGGCCTGCATTCCTGAAGGGACCAGGCTTACCAGTAAGCAGTCAATATGGGGGAGTACATGACTTCGTGATTTTAACGCACTGGGCTTAATTTCTGTGCATGTAGCACAGGAAATATACACACACACACACACACACACACACACACACACACACACACACAACTGCTAGTTATACTGTTTCATTATTTTCTTTTCTTGTGCAGTGTTAGAGACACATGCTAGGAAAGCGCTCTACTAATTCCACCGGCGAGGTACATTCCCTCCCCCAACCCTCAATGTATTTATCTCAGACTGAAGATGACCTTAAACTTTTGACTCTTCTTCCTCTACCTTCTGAGTCCTGGAATAACAGACATGTGCCACTCTGCCTGATATTTGTTGATAATCTGCTGGGGATTGAATATGTAGCTTCATGCATGCTAGGCAAACCCTCTTAACAACGGAGCTGCATCCTCAGAATTCATCCTTTATCAACATCTCCACTCGGCAAGGCAACCTCATACTTCTCTAAAATAGTTTTGGCTGGGCTGGATCTGAAGTCGTTTTCAAACGAATAGTTTGAAATACCGAGTACGCAAGCAAAAGAGTGCGCGTTTTTTTTCCCATGTTGACAAGCATCTGTACTTAAAACCGTGGCTTCCGGACAACTCCGCAGAGGCCACTGGTAGACTGCAAACCTAAACCAGCAGCGCGTTTCTCAAAGCGTGGCGAGTGCTCCCCAGTTTCAGAATTACTTGAGGTGCATGGTCGAAACATTCCTGGACCCCGTCATATTTAAAAACCGTTGACCTGCCTTCCATCCAAGCTCACACTTACTCCTATTGGAACTGGAGAAAACACTGGCCTAACAGATCCACCAGAGAGAGTTTTCACCGCGTCCCCTCACCCCAGGACTACTCACAGCCAGCGAGGGCAAGCGGGCACAGGTTACTAAGGCAGCCGGAGCCCTCGGTAACCAGCACCCCCGTCCCTCCATCGCGCCAGGGGGGCGAGGAGAGTTAAAATCACGGTTAACGCTTAGAGATCTCTCTACCGGAGCCCCCATCCCATCACCTTCCCCGCTCCGATCCGCTTTTCCGCGAATCTCCAGCTGTCTTTCCTTTTCTTCTGTCAAGAGTCCCCCTCAGCTTAACCCAACTTCCTGTCAGCCTCCGGCCTCCCTCTCCGCAGACCACCCCCTTGCCCCAGCTGCTCCGGCCTCGGGCCTGCGGCTCCACGGGGCCAGCATCCCCTTTCCCCTCCCACCCGCGCGGTGCCAGCGCCCCGCCACCCTCCGCTCCCCACGGTCACCCCCTTTCTCCTCTCCCCATCTCCTCTCGGGTTTGGCTGCGAGGCCTGGAGGGGACTCACCATTCCGGCGGTTGCTACCGTCACTGCTCTGGTTGCTAGGGCCCGCCGGGGTCAGTGCGCAGGCGCAGCTCTGGAGCTCTCCGTCTGGGCGGCGCTGGCAGCGGTCCTTTCTCTCCGCCCTGAGGGTGGCGCGAGCGGGGCATTGTGGGACGGCTGGCGGCCCCCCGGGGTCCTCCAATGGGCTCCGCTGCACCCGTGCTGGGGTGGACCAGGACCCCTACCCAGGGGAGCAGTGCATGTGCCATTGCTGCCTTAAGCTTGAAACTTTCAACCCTCCTGATGACATTTGCATTTCTGATATAAAAGAATTTTTTTTTTCCGTTTAAAGGCCTTCCCTGGAAAACCCACGGGAAAGGTTAAAGTGTCTTCGGCAATTCGCTTTGCCGTCTGACTCAGTATACCCAGAGCTACACTCCGGACTTCTCTTTTCCTAACTCCAGATCCTCCACGGAGAACTCAGGCGCCAGAAATCTCAGCCGCACACTTAAAGTATCACAGAATGTTGGTTCTGTGCAACCAAGGTATCTCTTTCCCTCCCTAAGAAGTCGGCTGGGACATTTAAACAGACGCCTGTTGGGATGGAGCTGCCAGGGGCATAGAGAACAGGGCCGCACAAACACACAGCTGCGAACAGTTGCTGCCTCTCTGGGAAGGCTGCTGGTGATGTGTAGTTAAAAGCTTTAAAAAACTTCCGTACCTTTGTGACCAAGCCAGAAATTCTCAGTCTTCATCCAGAGGAACAGTCAACGAAGAATGTATGTAAGGAATAAGAAGGACCAGGCCTTCCAGGCCCCGCGTGCTATAGAGTCGCCGAGCAGTGATAATGAAAGGATCCAGAGCAGCATCAATAACCCCAACAGAGAAAGTGTACCAGAGAGCAGCTTAAACCAGAACATTGCCGAACTGAACTCCAATATCCCCGAGTCCTCCCACGAGGGCTATGCATTGTTCCAAGGTCATGGTCCTTTCTCCCACATTAACCAGATCTTGAAGGAGGCTCACTTCTACAGCCTACAGCAGAGAGGACAATCTCCGACATGATCACCTAGGCGTCCTCCTCCCTTGTTTATAAAAAGCAATGGCATTCACATAGAAAAAAATATTGTGGAATAATCAGACTGCAACCCACAGAACCAGGGAGGCTACGTAGCAGGGGGGGGACCCTAGGATGACTTATAATAAGTTTGGTTTTGCTCAACCACTGAGCAAGCCTCAGTGAAACATTTCACTGTTAGGATAAGAATTTGTACTGTATCAAGCTGATAATAGAAAAAAATAAATAAAATCAAACAAAATTTAATATCCACCTTTAATCTTGATCATGCCTTCTGGTGGCAGCCTACATATATAAAGGACACTGAAGGAGTATGCTCTCCCTTTGCCTGATTGCCCTAGCTCTAGCTACTAAGTTCATTTTTTCTTTCTTTTTTTGGTTTTTCAAGACAGGGTTTCTCTGTATAGCTTTGCGCCTTTCCTGGAACTCTCTCCCTGTAGCCCAGGCTGGCCTTGAACTCACAGAGATCTGCCTGCCTCTCCCTCCCAAGTGCTGGGATTAAAGGCGTGCGCCACCACTGCCCAGCTCCAAGTTCATTCTTTTAACCAGCATTAGAGCCTACTTCCTTAGAACTGTGGTGTATGCTAAAGACCAGCTGAGATATACAGCCTCATGAACTGAACAACTCCTGAATTCTTCAAGTTTCCATTGGTAGCAGCCACTGATGGACTACCTGAACCACAGTTTGTGAGACATTCTAATAAATCCATTTTCTTCAGACATAGAGAGATTCATTCTGCCATTCCTTTCCAGGTAGAGAACCTTGAACAATGCAGTTGTTTTTTTCCTTCACCTGCCCCCTGAAGAAGATGTGCTAACAATAGCGTTCATAAACACATTCTTCATAGCTCAGTTATCTCTAAAAATTAAACTATACATGATGACTACTCTGTGTTATTGTTCAGTTGCCAACAGTTTGTTCTGAATTTCTGGAATAAAACTCCTAAAGCAATGAAAAAAATATTGTGGAGATACATCTATTCATGTGAAAACTAAGAAAAATGAGAAGCAGGCAGACTTGATCTCAACAGGATGAGACTGCTTTATTGGAACAGTGAGGGTCCCAGCCTTTTTCCAGAATGAAGGCTGAGCTCACTTAGGGCTGAGGGACATGTATAAATACTTAGGTAGCCACTGGAAGTTACAGCCTCCCCCCCCCCAACCCCCCGCCCCTCCGTTTATACTGGGAGCAGGGTGGGTTGGTTTTGATACCAGGGCCTATTGTTTCTGCAGGTAGAGTGCAATGGTCAGGTTGGGGCTAAGCCATTCTTTATGGCCAGGGGCTGTTGCCCTATCCAGCTTGATTCAGTTCCTCATGACCCGAGACTATTACCCAAATGAAAGGTATTTTAAGTAAAAATTCAAGTTGCCAAGCAAAGTAAGTGATGGGATCCTCTTTAAAATCTATATAGTGCACATGAAGGTGCAGAAATACATATTTAAAAGGGTATTATAAAGGTGTAATAGTTGTTTTCTACAGAATTGTGTCTCCTCAAGATTCATATGAAATTGTCTTAATGTCCATGTCACAGTATCTAGGAACAGGGCCCTTAAAGTTAAGTAGGGCCATAATCCAGACCTCATGTTCTTGTAAGTGTAAGAGACACAGCCCAGCAGTGGTGGTGCACACTTTTAATCCCAGCACTCGGCAGAGGCAGAGGCAGGAGGATCTCTGTAAGTTCCAAGCCAGCCTGGTCTACATAGAGAGTTCCAGGACAGTGAGGGCTGCACAGAGAAACCCTGTCTCAAAAAACCAGAGAGAGAGAGAGAGAGAGAGAGAGAGAGAGAGAGAGAGAGAGAGAGAGAGAGAGAGAGAGAGAGAGAGAGAGAGAGAGAGAAAGAACTAGGAGGACCACCAGCAAAATACAAAAGGCCATCTGAGGACCTACTGGCTAGCACATTATCTTTAGCTCAAGGGTCCAGAGTGTGAGAAAATAAATTCCTGTTGATGAAGCAAGCCACTTAATTTTGTGGACGTATTATGGCGGCTCAGGCTAATACAGTGTTATTGCTCGAATATTTCCTGATTGCTCTGTAATTTTTTATTTCAAAATAACAAGTTTCAGCCGGGCGGTGGTGGCGCACGCCTTTAATCCCAGCACTCGGGAGGCAGAGCCAGGCGGATCTCTGTGAGTTCGAGGCCAGCCTGGTCTCCA